AACTCGGGTTCGATCCTTGCCAGCAATTGTTAATTGCAATTTTATGTGCTGTTTTACCATGTGTTCGGTGGTGAAGGAAAACGTCGTGTGAAAACCTGCATGTCTGAGAAATAAGAAAAAAATAATGTTACGAATAAAATGGATGTTCGTGAACATGTACATCGCATCGGATATTTCTTTGCCTTACAGCCCTCTCAAATGAGAAGAGTCCTGTGCCCAGTGGGGCGTATATAGGCTGTAACTTTACTTTTTACCTTTTTTGAGTTCTATGTCTACTAGCAATCATGTTCCCGCCAATTGCTTTATTTTTAAATTTAGATGTTGACGCGAAGGCTTAAAGTTTACCAAATATATCCGTATATAGGCTGTAAATTTATTTTTACTTTTTTTTGAGTTAATTAGTCTACTAGCAATCATAATATTTCCGCCAATTTTTTTAAAATTTAGATATTGACGCAAAGGCTCTACCAAATAAATCCGTATATAAGCTGTAACTTTACTTTTTACTTTTTTTAAGTTTTTTATTCTACTAGCAATCATGTTCCCACCAATTGTTTTTTTTTTTTTAATTTAGATGTTGAGGTAAAAGCTTTACAATTTCCAATGCTTAAATAATGTGGTGATTAAAATTTCAAAACATTAAACGGTCGTATAGAAGTGTGAAATCATTAACTACAAAATAAAATGAACATGGTATAAACTAAAAAGAAGTGACAATGTGCTGGTGGTTAAAAGTTAGCGTTCCCTTGATGTACAATCTGGGTGCCCGCTTCGGGGAAGGAATCGTGGACCTATTCTACCGTCTATTCCACTGTCTCACTGATGTCGTTGCGGGTGAGTAAGAGAATGGCATGGCTCATCAATTATAAAATATTTGTGCTGTATCCAAATCCTCGCAGATTCCTTTATTTATGTATATAATATACGATACACCTAATCTAGTATAGTTCCCGACCAACTATGCGATTGTGTATCTCTGGTTGAGGTAAGTAATACGTGGTAGAGCCACGCTGCAGCTATATTATAGTTACAGTCTTATATATATAAACCTTTTACTAAATAATATTAAGCACTTCCTTGTATATATGTATATATATATATATATATATATATATATATATATATATATCTGTATATATATAAATTAAATATCAACCTTTGGTCCGAACAGTTGGCTATAGTTTATTTCTGTTAAAAGAGATCTAATTTTACCTACTACATAAATATATGAAAGTGCTCGTAAATGTAGCACTCACTTTAGAAACTACGTACTTAGAAGAAGTAAAAATGCTTACAACTAAGTAACCGGGGAGGACCGAGATCGAATGCATCGCAGCCTGTAATTATATTTGGTCTTTTTACTCTTCAGACCTGAACACAGCACTGCAAGTACTGCTACATGGCGACAGAAATAGGTATGACTGTGATACGAACCCAGACGGACTACTAGGTATAAAAGGAATACCACCCAGTAAATAGTTGGTCTGAAAAGTAAATACTTTCTGACAGTATTCAAAGCTGCCGCCATGTTTTTTTATAGAAGATGGGGCAAACGAGCATGCAGCTCACCTAATGGTAAGTGACTACCGCCGCCCACGAACAACCGCAACACCAGAGGAATTTCAAGTGCGTTGGTGGCCTTTGAGAAAGGAGTAAGCCCTTTTCTTGAAGGAAGTCGTATCGGTCCGGAAAAGTCCCCGGTGGTAAACAATACCACAGGTAAGTTATACGAGGAAGAAAACTCCTAGTAAAACGCGTAGTGGTGGACCGCCAAGCAACCAGATGGTTAGGATGGTATCGGGAATTTTGACGCAACGTGCGTTCGGGAAATTTGGCGGCTGGAACTTATTATAAAATAATCCGAACAATTCCTCAAAATAAGCCACCTTGTAGATACGATAGATAACGCAAAGAGATGCAACATTCCTACGCAGCGCCAGTGAATCGTGCCGATCAGAAAGAACTCGGTCGTCGACGATTCGTATCGCTCTGCGCTGGATGCGGTCAAGTGGAAGGAGCTACCAATGTGGTGCACCAGCCCAGAGAAGAGAACAGTATTCCATGTGAGGCTGAATTTGCGCTTTGTAAAGTTGCAAGCAATATGCCGGCATGAAATACTGTCTCGCTCTGCTGAGCACGCCAAGCCTTTTATAGGTCAATTGTTAAGAGACACGCCTTATAATACGCTCAGAAGAAAGAACATTGAAACTGAAAAATTGACGAAAGGTTATCTGATATTTTTCTGGGTGTTGTGAAGTTTTCTAGTGTCCGGTTTACATAGGTTTGTCAAACTTATGTATATTAAAATTCAATAATTTACTTAAAATAGATTTTCATTTCTTTTTCATTCATCGAGGCCTGTGAAAATTTAGTAGATGGTGAAAAAATCAACCAGTAAGCTTAATGTACCGATTTTTCGACATTAAATAAAAATAATTTTCGACTTTTCGGGTGCTTTACAGCACTCGTGATGGGTGCTGTACAGCACCTAAAACGTTGGGAATTAAATAATTTAAATTAAACGCTGTAATCAAAATTCGTAAATTTAATTTTATTGATTAAGTATGTTTAATATTTATTACAGTAATATTCATTCTGATTTTTAAAAGTCATAAAAATCAACTGCTGGACATGGCCTGTCGATTTGCAGGGTAGATTTGCCTCCGAATGCTTTGACTCTGCTGCAATTCCATAGTCTGTATATTTTACGCCTTACGTGATCGTGATGGTTAGACAGCCTTAAGGATTATTCCTGGCAATTTCTATAGTCGACTCCTAAACGTACGGGATGAAATCTGGTAATGTTAGAATAAAAACATAAAAAAAACATAAACACTCACGCCTGTCACCCAGAGGGGTAGGCAGAGACTACAGACTTCCATTTAGCACGATCCTGAAAAAAAGAATAAAATGCATTTAAATATTTTTTTTTATTCAACATAGGTAGATTATTACAAAATCTCATAAAAATGAATCTCTTAGGTCTTACGAATTCTCTTCATTCACGTGTTAAAGACATTAGCCGGTCTTTATTAAAATATAGTAGTTACGCCTGCTATATATTTTTAGAATTGTAGTAATTGAACCAGTAATATAGTCGGATTGTATATAATGTAGTCGTGGCAACCCTATGGTCAACTTACTTGTAAATGCGACTGGATACGTTTTGCTATAATGTGTAAGGGGTGGGTAGAGAAAAATCAACGGAGCGATTTGTGTAGAAGCGTGTGAAATAAAACTCGAGTGGACGCATTATAATGGAAAAACATTGAAGTAATATTTACTACGTACTAGAACAGACACCGCGAACAAAATCGGTACGCAGTGCGGGGCGCGTGTTCGGAGGCACAGAATATCTTTTTATAGCGCAGACTAAGTTAGTTTGAGCCCGTAGGCTCTAATGAGTGTTGCAAACAACCAAGTTTCCGGGTCTTTTCTAGTACTTAGTACATTTTATATGAATGTGTAAGAATGAGGTTTTCAGTCACGTCAAACGCTCCGCTCTGCTGCACGCTCGTTGTTGAGTAATAATGTCCAGAACGAATTTCGGTCACGGTGGCCAGTCTCACAGGAGATAAGACATCTGCGCAGGGTAGGATTATAGTACCCAAGTGTATGTGCAAACACAGGTGCACTCTCTATACCCTCACTCTCATAGTCCGATGGGACATGAACGGAGAGAGGTCAGGCGCGGACCAACGGCTTTACGTGCTTTCGAGGCATTAGGTGAAACACCGCCAACTTCCTGACTCCAAACTGCTAGTGAGAATTTCTTGACTGATAAACTCAATAACCTATTTTAGCCCAGTTCGGAATTCAAACCCAATTGCTTTACGACCACTAACCAATGAGGCAGTCAAAGTTGCTGAGTATACATATATGAAAGGTAATATATGTTTGAATTCCGGGTAAGCGTTACTCACAAGAGTGTATATGACGCATAACTAATAGATGATGGGCATCTCATTTCGTTCCATGTCGTGAGAGGCGACTATGAGGAACGCCAGAAAAATCTCGTTTACGCTAGATGTAAAATACCGGTGAAAGGGAGAAGCGTCAAATACTTGAGACGTCAGCTGCTGCGATCATCAAATCGTCTGCCAAGTGCATCGTCAAAGGCAAATCTTTACTATAACGGCGGAGGCCCATACCCAACAGTTCATTTACACAGACTGTTAAAAAAACCAGAAAAAGAATAATATGATTATCATACCCGCCGAACGCCCGCCCCGCCTTACGTTCGTCCCCCTGATCGACAATAAAGCTTAAGCTAATTATTACCGCATTTGTATTTTACTTTCACATTGAGTTATATTTGCATAATTTATTGTAACGTAATATTTCCTTGTATTAAATTCCATTCCGATTCTGCAGGGCACATATTAAAATAGCAAGCATTATTTATAGGCAGAGGCTGAAACTTTTATTAGGAAAAACAGTACGGAAAAATGTTTGTTATATTATGCTTTTCAGCAGCAAAAGCTTGAGTTATTTTGCATAAAGTTTGGTATGTGTTTTTGTGATATGTATGCAATAGAGAGTATAAATAAATAATTAATAAGTAAATTGGTCTTATGAGCCGGATATGAACCTGCAATCTATAGAAAAACGTATTTACTGTTATCATATAAATTTAAAGACTTACGTATTATCTCTACTTGACTTTATTATCCACGAATCAACCAATGTATATTTATTTCTTGGAATTGTTTCTCCTTACTTATCATGCCGACTTCTTTCTTCGTACGTTCTTTCTTCTCTACTGTTTATATTGGTTTTCATCGCCGGTCTATAGGATGTGGGTTCATTATTTTATGGATGGTTTTTATGCCATCGTTTCGCCACCAGAACCTTGTCCGATAATGCGTAAAGTATACTGTGTAAGTAAGCTTGAAATCTGGAGAAAAATATTTGTAGATGCTTTTTCTCTTACATACTCGAGTCGGTATATAGAAAAGTATATTTTTGAGTTTAACAAGTTCTTTAACATGCATTTTCAGAAACGAATGACGGAACTCTTTCGGAAGAATCTGAAACGGATTCTAAGGAATGTGAGGACAAATGGAACGTGACGAAGCCTGGCGGGAGCATGGCGGCACGGCCTTTACCCGTCCCAATTGAAAATGAGCCGTTCTACATGAACGTGGACCGAAGCGAAGCGGAGAATTTGCTTCGCGGTCAACCGGATGGGACATTTGTGCTTCGACCGTCGAGTCAGGTGATTGCCTGCCTTATATAATAATTAATCGATATTTTATTTATTGTACCCAGAAAATAGGATGGTAATTTTGCAATTGATTTTAAAATTACTTCTCGATGAGCTACAGACTTTAAACAGAGAACAGAGCTTGAAAAAAAATGGTGGTAAAAAGTGGTCGCTATTTTTCAATTATAATTACCCATTTGTTCCATTTTTGTATCATGTGTGCTTTAGATTTATATTTATGATTTAATATATCACCCAATAATTTTTTTATTACGTCATTTCCTTGGGCAAAAGATTGTTCTATGACGGATCCGTGGCGCAGTGGCTAGCAATGATTTTCAGTACTAAGTTATATTGGGTCTGAATGTTTGCCCTTGTAAAATTTATCTATATTAACTTTCCCCATGATATAGGAGAAAATCCTAGTGTGGAGGCAACGTTTAAAAAAGATTATCTATAGAGCTAATCGTATTCAGAACGATAAAATTGCTACTGCACCAACTTTATGTATATTATTTTTTTAATATTGCTTATTTTTTATAGCAGATGAGTGAATAAAAAACACACAATCCACCTAATTGTAGATACATCCTGTGGCCCATAGACACCCTAATAGTAAGTGAACATCGGCTTCCTTAGAAATTGTCCAATTGCTTTACCAGTTTCCTTGCTGATCAGAGCATCAAGGTCGTAGTAGATGGTGCATGCTCCAATTACAAGCCTATAAATACTGGTGTTTCATAAGGCTGTGTGCTGTCAGCTACGCTATTCCTTCTGGATATCAATGATATGTTGCAAATCAGTAGCATTTATTGGTATGCAGACGACAGAACTGGCCAATATTTCTCGGGATCATGTCGAGCACCGGAACAAAGCTGTGTCTGAAGTTGAGTCGTTGTTAAGCAAAGTCTCAGATTGGGTACGATTAAATCTAGTTCAGTTTAAACCTCAGAATACACACACACGCTAAAAAGAAGGCGCTGCAAATAGATGATACATTCCTTTGCATCTTTTGTCGCATCTACCACTGGGAGTGCACTGAGGAATTGTTTGGAATAATTCCAGCCAAATTTCTCAAAAGCACATCGCGATCAAACTCACGATACCATCCACATATCTGGATGCTTGGCTGTCTACTGCTGTGCATTTTACTACGTGTTTTCTTCCTCACACAACCACTTTGGAATCGTTTATCAACAGAAATTTATCCGGACCGATATGACTTAAGGACCTTCAAGAAAATAGTTTACTCCTTTCTAAAAGGCCAGCAATGCACCTGCAATTCCTCTGGTGTTGCGGTTTTTCATAGGCAGCGATAGTCACTTAACATCAGGTGAGACGCATGCTCGTATGCCCTTCTATTAAAAAAAAAACAGATTGCAATAAAATTACATTTAAAACACTTTAAACAGTTCTGTGCCAGGTATTATTCACAACATTTATATATTGTGAATATTTACACATGTGTGCAATATTTTTATCTTATTTCTACTAATGTAGTAATAAATATGAGTAAGCAATAATAATGGAATATGAGTAAGCAAGTTGTTTTACCGTATTTTCAAATATCCTGGAACTTGGGTTGAAATATCCGAGTCAGTGATTTTCATGGATATCTCATAAAGCTGACACATTCTTATTATTGGGTTATAAAAAGATCCTGAATTTAACTAATATTCATAAAAGTGCCTGTGTGCCAGGAGCCTGTGCTTACTATTCAAAAAAGTTCGCAGGTAAAACGTATAGGCAGTTTTTTCATATTAACATTCTCCTAGAAATAAGATCACTTTTACGGAATCTTAAATTTACTGTAATGTGTATATTACATTACCCTTATCCGGTTATTCTCTCCTCAGACAGCATCAAAGTCATATAACAATGTAATAAATAGCTGCCCATGAGCTACTCAACTTTTTTTCGTACACCATTATTTTCGCCTTATTTTCCACTCGGACAATGTGTTTCAGAAACCGTTCAGGCGATTTTATTTTTACTACTCCACAACCCTATACTTGTGTTTTTTAACGTGTAACGCTGGTTTTCTTTTTTATAGAATAAGGGTGACAACAACAAATCAACAATTATACAATCACGTGTTTAATAAACTTTTATCACTCTTTGGTAACTAAGGTCTTAAAAACCACAAAATTACTGACGTATACTGTATTAATAGGTCAACTTAAAACTATTATAAGCCTATTTAAATTATTATTCTAATAATCTTCGGTAGTAAGTTTTCTTCTACCTAATTTTTATTTACCATTAACATTACTTACGAGGTAACAATAAAACACCTAAGAGGTAATAATAAATTTAAACTGCCTGTAAACTTTACAAAATATTAAGTTCTAGTATTCTAATCTGTAATAGTCAACGCAAATTAACAAGAAGTATCTTATAATAATAGAAAAGTGAAAAGAGAACGAGAAAACTCAATGTCAATTTAATCACTGAAGGTCGAGATTTTTGTCGTTAGGGTCAACCAGAGGAAGGCGAGGTTGAAATCAATTTTATATCTTCTAAGCATACTGACATTCTGTCTGGAACATCTGGTAGTTCCAATGGAAAGAAAATGCTATCTATTTCATCTCTGTTAACGTGACTCACACTCTAAAATTTTCCTTATTTTTTTTGCACTTCCCTGTCGCTGTCTCGGCTTTTTCTAAGATTTTATTTTTCTTTTTTCGTTTTTTATTTCATTTGACTTGGCCTGTAAAACTTTTTTTTTAGTTTTCTTGATCTCTTCAGGAGTTCGGAAACTCAAATCTGGATGTCATTTTGTAAAGCCATAATACCATATTATTCGAGCTGGTTGTGTCTCTAACCGTTTTCTGGTATTTCTATATTATTAGTGACGACCACAACATGTGCAAGTTGCCTAGCCACTGTTGGAGATAGACCATCACCATTATCACTGCAGAGTAGCGTACGGAATATTATAATTAATTATTACCTACTATCTAAATTAAGTTCAATGGCACTCTTCATGTAGTCCTCATTGCTGAGGCCAATATTGGTCTTTTTATATCGCGAGTTACGTTGTTACTCTGAAACAACTAATGAATTAAGTGCTATTAATAGTTAACACTTTGGGGTACAATGGATCGCAGTCCAGTGTTGTCCCTATCAAGAAACGGTCCACTGTTGTCCAACACATCATATTCTAAATTCTAAAGCATTTCTATAACTAATATAACCTGTGAGAAAAGTTAAAGTTAAGAGAACTTTTTAGATTTTTTTATTTGTAGCATAATAATATACCTCGATCCAGTGTACCTCACCTTCCCTTCCCCTACCTCGAGTATAGTAAGAATTAAAATATGGTAAACTGTTGCTATATTTATCTAACAGGCGCTTTTCATAAATAAAATTTTCATTTAGTTTTAATTAGAATTTGATATTTACAATCTGCTATACATAAAAATATGCTTAATAAATACTTTTTGTTAATGTTGTTGCCAGTTTTAATTCTAAAATACGATATTTGCCATCGTTATTTAAGTTTATTAATTGAACTTATGTTTATGTTTTTTATTACTTTCTTTTAATTCACTGCACCGCAGGGCCTTTTTAAATTTTAATACTTTCTAGCCCAGCCACACCTATACACTCAGCGTTTCCTGTGGCAACGCTGTACACAACGTGGGGGTTCGACGACGCCCTGATGGAAGACTGGCGCTCGGCTTCGCTCGCCGTGGCGAACGGAGCTTCAGTAGTGTGACGTCATTATTACGTCACCATCGCCGCCGTCGGCTGCTGCTGGTGGCGGCTGGTGACGTCATTGGTGCGACCACTCTAAACGAAACGCCGCATTACTACCAAACGCCGAGCAACGTGCCCGTGCTTCATGTGTAGAGATAATGTTCATGTATTGTTGACCTTGAAATCGAATTAAAATGATTGAAGAGCTGTGCGTAATGTTTATTAATTCCTTCTTCATTAACCGTGTTTTTATACGTGGTACAGCCATGATGCAGCTATATGCAGGGTGACAAACGAGGACACAGTCCACCTGATGGTAAGTGGATGCTGTGGCCCATAGACATCTGTTTACATCTACTCTCGGTTAAGAATCAAATTGCATATCCGTTGTCACCCCTGAGGACTAAGATGGAATCAAGTAAAAGGGTATTAGGTTCTCTACACTAGCCATACGAAACACAGCAGCAATAAGCTGCTATTTTACGCTGGTATTCTGTGAGAGTGTGGTCATTCCCCGGTCGAGCCGACCCATTCGTGCCACAACCATAATATAGCTGCAGCTACATACGTAGTGGTGGTGTAATAATATTCACTACCTTCGGTAGACCATGGCGATGTAGCACGTCGAACCTCGGAACTACAACCATAACTCACTTGGGGTTAATGCGCGGGCAACACAGAGTGGTGGCAAAACATAATGTTTCATACTTTATTCTTCTTATCATCTTTGCAAGCTGTATGATCAAAACTTTTTTTTAGTTTTCTTGATCTCTTCAGGAGTTCGGAAACTCAAATCTGATTGTCATTTTGTAAAGCCATAATACCATATTATTCGAGCTGGTTGTATCGTAAAGGGGAATACCCACTGTTCATAGACACTTTGGCCATGGGTGCCCACATATAAAAGCATATCCTATACCTTAAACCAGCAATTCTTGTATATGTATATAATCGGAATCTCGGAAACGGCTCCAACGATTTTCACAAAATTTTGTATGCAGGGAGTTTCGGGGGCAATAAATCGATCTAGCTAGGATTTATTTTTAGAAAATGTCTTTTTGTCCGTGTTTTTAGGCAATGAAAAACTGCTACAATATCGTTAAAATAAGAAGGTAAATTTTGAAAGTTTATTAATGATTACAAATAGCTTAATTAGTATATTGGGCGGTTACAAAATCGTAATACCATGGTTCGAGCCCAGACCGACCGACTTTTTTTAATTTTTTTTCAAGTTCCTTTCTTTTTTGAGAAAATCTATTTTTTCGAGCCCTTTTTTTTAGTATTTTTTAAAAACACGAAAATTTAAATTAAACTAATTGCAATCATAATTTTTTATTCAAATAACCAGTTCAGTTTTTTCTATTATGTCGCTAAGATCAAAAAATATTATTCGTATTTCATCAGTATGTAATTTGTATCTAAATATAATTTCCAAATCACACGAATTAAAAAAAAAACCGAGCGAAAAATACCGAGCAAAGCTCGGTCAACCGGGTACTGATAATTAAACAAGCGAATAGCTGATTTCCTATGAATTCTTTAGAGTGTAACAAAATGCTATTGCACAATTTAACTGTTATTGTTATCAGTTTTAACTATACATTTAAAATAGAATCGTGTTATGATAATTAAACAAGTGAATTTTTAGCTGATTTACCATGAACAGTTTAGAGCATAACAATACGCTACTCCACATTTTAACTGTTCTTAAAAATACATTTAAAAAAGAATTTAAATAAATAAAAGAAAATATATTTTAAAAAGCTTGTAGAATTTAAAGCGCCTCAAATATTATTATTTTTTTATTAAATTAGTAATTTAAATATAATCGAAATAAAATCGAATAAAAATAGATATCGTTTCATTGTATTTATGTTAGTTATGGCAACATCAAATCTGACAGCTAGGAAATATGTCATGCGAATTGCGAATGAAAATGAAATCACAATTCAAGTAAAAAGGTACCAGAGGTTAAAAGTAAGTGTTCAAGAGTTTTTAATTTATTAATTCTAGTGCTGATATTTGATAGTGATGAATGTATGAAATGATGAAGTTGTTTTATTTTTTAACATATGTACAAGCTATATCTGACAAACATAATAGCTTATTTATAACATGGCGATAAGATTAGCTAGCTAACACCAGATAGTTACGAAATTGACAATTTTTATCAAATACCAAGAAATGAGACATTCGATTTTTAATTGTTTTTGGACTACTGGTAGGCAGTCAGTCCTTAATTATTTAATAATATAGGACATTAAGTTTTAAGTAGCATTTACCTATATTTGTGTTTAAAGTAAACAAATCTATTTTATTTTGTTCATACTACTACATACTAAACTGTCAAAATTTACCTTCTTATTCTAACGATAGTGGTATTTTAACTCGATATAGAATCTATGCTTGTTACTACAGAACTCTTCATTGGCTTGTGAGGCCGATTCACATTGGGCCACTTTTTCCAACTTTTAGTTATATTTTATTAATTATTTTTTTCGTTTAAGTGGAGCTCTCTTATTTTAGATTTATTACCAATATCTAAAACAATCAACCTAAGTAGGTAAAGTGTGTAAAAATAATAATTGGATTTGATCATCTTAGGTACGTATTTACTTTTATTTATTTAGAAAGTATTAATATCACAAATAATTATTTTAATGATATAATTTTATCACACAACTAAAGCCCTCATTAACAATGTAATGGTGAAAGAATTTTCAAAATCGGTCAAGTATTTTTTGAGATTAGCTAATAAAACATATTTACAGAAAGTAGCGCCCTCTATAATAAAATCCTACATTAGATATCTATAATTATACATAACATTATAGCGGTGAAAGTATTTTACGAGTTTAGCTAAATAAATATATTCGTTGAAAGTAGCGTCCTCTATCATAAAATGCATCGTAAGTTTCACAGTCATAATAGAATTGTAATGATGAAATAATTTTTTAAATCGGTCAAGTAGTTTTTAAGCACCATTGCAAAAAGCGATTCAGCTTAGCCACCCGCACACACAGTGAAAACATAACCATCCTTTTTCGTCTGTAGTCGGATAAACAACTGGTTGACTACGGTTGCGTATCGGCTGCTTTGGATAAATATCCGTTGTCAACGGTTGCTTTACACCTATATCATATCATCATAATAATTATCGAAAAGTTATGTTAGCATTGTAATAATGACACCATAAATAATCGATTAAAAAAGGGAATCGATTTTAATGTGATTTGTGACTGGTAACATTTTTCTTTGTCCACAAACTAATGAATTACGCATTTACGTAATTTTATTTTTATCATTTCAGTACCTTTTTTGTGCAAAAATATTCCCGTCTTTTTAGGATAAATGAATACCGCGATTAATAACCATAAATAAAGATATATTTTTTTAACAAATGTTGGGCGTTCAATGGCCGAAAATGGGCAATTCCCTTTGCAGGTAAAGTAAAACATTGTCCAATCACAAAATACATAAGGAATAATATTATGTAAATATACATTTTTTTTTTCATTTTAATTATTAATACAAGTTTTAAATAGTTTTTGAAAGTTAATAAAACAACGATTTTCTGTAAAAAAAAAAATACTGTAGGTAATAAAACATTTTTCGACCAAAGCGTAACTCCGCAAATAATCATTTATTTTGCCGATCCGTGGCGCTATGTGGGTTAGAACACTAATAAACAAAAATAAAAACTGAAAAAGATTTACAACATTGTGAGAATTAAACCCACGCTCCGTCATGGTTGACACACACTCGTACCTTTAGGCAAACTATAAGCTACCATTAGTTACGAGATTATCAATAATATTGTACGCGCAAATTAAAGTTCGGTCACTAATGATTATAGCAGTATTATTTTAACAATATTTTTGGCGGTATTATTATAAATTTATTTTCGTATCTTTGTTCCTTCGTTCGTATTTAATTTATTTTCAAACTATATGGCCGTAAACGGATTTACTAATCACGGGAAATCGTGTTCAGGTTAAAATCACCTGTTTTTTTTGTAACTTTATTTATTATTATAGTTATCACTTTATAATTTTTGACATTATTAGATACTATTGTTTTAGTTTATTTATCGTTTACTATAAATTCATTGCTTGTGCATAGTTTTCAAATTTGAAATAAAGTTTATTGCTCATCCTTACTTTATTTGATTCCGAAGTATAATACATACGAACATAAATACGACAATTTTGTTAATAAGCTTTGTTGGCACGATCTTTTTCTTAGCGCAGTGGCGGTGCACAGAAACGCAGTGTTGCTTGCTCAACGGAGAAATTGCAAGTTTCCGTATATACACTCTTATCTATGATTGCAACTGATGACTGATGTTGAAACAAAACATACTCGAAGCCTCGCGTTACGTGAGACGAACGAGAATTTATTGCACGGAATAAACATATAGTAGGCGCTAAATGCATTTTATTCAATAACTCGAAAAAGCTAAATAATTTTTTAAAATCCCTCTTTACAGCACTAGATATTAAATATGTGATGTCATTTACATTTTTTTAATTCATAATATGCATCACGATCAGAACAAATCGTTTTACGATGAAAATAAGATGTATATTTGTGATTTTTTTCGGTATTTTTTTCAATTTTTTTTATTATGTTATGTTTTTAAACAATTTTGGTCCTCGCAATTACGATGTTTTGACCACAATGTTCATATTAATATTTTTTGTTACTTTGTACTTGATTTAGCTATGTAAAAATTTGATCTACGAGTACGATTGGTAATTTGTGGTGGTACGCACTCTTAATGTCGCCGTGTTTCATATGGTAGTTTAAATTCATTTCACTGGAAACAAGGCATCTTATCTCAGTCAGGGGTGACAATGCAACTAAATTTAATTTTTAAGGGGCTGTAGTAACTCAGCTCAAATTCTAATTTCGCCCTCACGTGCCCGCGGGTCATATGCTATCTACCAACACGTTAATAATCAATCACTAATACTGTAAGTAAATAGGTTATTTCATTAGGTTTATCATATTTACGCCTATTTCTTTACGCCAAACCAGTCGCTTCTTATTTTTGTTACGGTTATTTCCCATTTTAACTTTACGTCATCCTGTTGCGTAATGTGTATTCTGATCGTAAGCGCCACAGCTATCCCGTTCGAAAGCCGAAGCAA